GTTTGTTTGTTTGTTTGTTTGTTTGTTTGTTTGTTTACCTTGCACCACCAGGCGTCCAAGCGCAGTTCTTCTGGACCTGCTGCCGGGTCGGTTGGCTGAACAAACATAAACTCCGGAATGCTGCAGCGTGGCATCAGAGATCATCAGGTTCCCTGTTCCCAGAACCTGGATCCCCTCCACCCCGATGGACCGCCCATCTGATCAGAACATATGAAGATGAAGATCAGCTGAGAAGCAGATAATCTGATCAATCATATACGCTGCTGTTACCGAGGCGACTCCAGGACACGATGGGCCGAGGGTTTCCTGTGGCAATGCATTCCAGAATGGCCGTCTGGTGGACGTTGATGGTTAGGTTCTGAGGTCCAGACAGGATGACCGGCTCCTTGTAGGATCTGGATCCAGCAACTAGAACCACGCCCCAATATAACAAACATAAAACACCAGGGCTTTTTCACCCTAAATTTAATCTGACAGGTTCTTTAATAGAATCTGTCATTTGTGTTCATTAGAACATCAGCTCACCTGTGACGGACAGCTGAGCCTCGTGGCTGAAGCGTGTGTTGGCGATGTTTGACGCCACGCATCGAAACAGACCATTATCAGAGCGCTGAGCGCCACTGATCTGCAGCACACCGTTAGGAAGCAGCGTGTACCTGAGCACACAGAACATGTGAAGAACACTAAGGTTCTGAACATACAGAACATGTGAAGAACACTAAGGTTCTGAACATACAGAACATGTGAAGAACACACTAAGGTTCTGAACACACAGAACATGTGAAGAACACACTAAGGTTCTGAACATACAGAACATGTGAAGAACACACTGAGGTTCTGAACACACAGAACATGTTAAGAACATGGTTCTGAGGTTCTGTGCAGACATACACACATATGCTAGTTACATGGTTCTGATCCATGTGGTGCCAGTGTGGAACCCACCTTGGGTCATCTGTACTCAGTGGGCGTCGGTCTCTTTGCCAGGTGATGTTAGCCTGTGGAATCCCATTCACCTGGCAACTGAGTCTGGCCACGCCCCCTTCATCTACAGAGAGGGATTGTGGGTGGGACAGGAACTTTGGGAGTGCTTGGTTGAGAAAGAGATGTGTCAGTTAATGTTGTGAATACATGCTACTTGTTGTGATTCGACTCACAGGCGAGCTGCACTCGGGCTTTGCGGCTGATCAACATCCCATAGCGGTTCTGTGCAGCGCAGTCGTACTCTCCAGCATCTGTCTCATTGCTCTCACGTCTCTTGGAGAAGTTCCTGATGAGCAGTGTGCCATTGTTGAGCACTGTTGCCTTGGTACCGGTCATCACAACAACACCATTACGTCTCCAGGTGATGGAAATAGGACCCTCCCCTTCCACCTGACAATGCAGCATTAAGGGACGATCCCTGACTGCAATCACATCACTAGGCTCTGTCAGGAAGGCAAGTTCCAAGGCCCCAAGCACATCTGGAGAGAGACAGGTAGGTAAGGGGTGGAGTCTCTGCAAGAACAGGAAGTGGACTTAGATCATAAGGTGTGATTTAATGTCTGGTTTCTGTTCTGTAACAGGTAACAGACCCTGGCCCAGTCAGGACTGTGAACTGTTCTAACCCTGAACTGTTATAAGCCTGAACTGTTCTAAACCAAAGTACTGTTCTAACCCTGAACTGTTCTAACCCTGAACTGTTCTAACTCAGAACTGTTCTAACCCTGAACTGTTCTAACTCAGAACTATTCTAAGACAGACTTTACCTAACCCCAAGTACTGTTCTAACCCTGAACTGTTCTAACCCTGAACTGCTCTAACGCAGAACTGTTCTAACCCTGAAATGTTCTAACCCAGAACTGTTTTAAGCCTGAACTGTTCTAACCCAGAACTGTTCTAACCCTGAACTGTTCTAACACAGAACTGTTCTAACCCTGAACTGTTTTAAGCCTGAACTGTTCTAACCCTGAACTGTTCTAACCCTGAACTGTTCTAACCCTGAACTGTTCTAACCCTGAAATGTTCTAACCCAGAACTGTTTTAAGCCTTAACTGTTCTAACCCAGAACTGTTCTAACCCTGAACTGTTCTAACACAGAACTGTTTTAAGCCTGAACTGTTCTAAGCCTGAACTGTTCTAACCCTGAACTGTTCTAACCCTGAACTGTTCTAACCCTGAACTTTTCTAACCCTGAACTGTTCTAAGCTTGAACTGTTCTAACCCTGAATTGTTCTAACCCTAAACTGTTCTAACACTGAGGTTTGTTCTAACCCTGAACTTTTCTAACCCTGAACTGTTCTAAGCTTGAACTGTTCTAACCCTGAATTGTTCTAACCCTAAACTGTTCTAACATTGACATTGAGTCTGTTCTAACCCTGAACTTTTCTGACCCTCAACTGTTCTAACCCTGAGCTACTCTAACCCTGAACTGTTCTAACTCAGAACTATTCTAAGACAGACTTTACCTAACCCCAAGTACTGTTCTAACCCTGAACTGTTCTAACCCTGAACTGCTCTAACGCAGAACTGTTCTAACCCTGAAATGTTCTAACCCAGAACTGTTTTAAGCCTGAACTGTTCTAACCCAGAACTGTTCTAACCCTGAAATGTTCTAACCCAGAACTGTTTTAAGCCTGAACTGTTCTAACCCAGAACTGTTCTAACCCTGAAATGTTCTAACCCAGAA